GGGGTTAACAGAGAAAAAGGAATGTATGGAGGATTTTTAAAGCTATCCATAAGTCAAGAGATTCTTGCCCTTTTCCTGATTAATTATAATTTCACTCGTATAGCTGGTACAAGAAGACTTTCAAAACATTGAACCTATTCCTAGAGACTGTTTCATCTATTGATGCCCGTGCATGTAGATGTACGTTTCCTCATTTTTTCTTCGGATGTATAAGTAATATTCTGAATATGCATTATTAAGGAAGGTAAAGGTAGTAAAATTGGGTTGGTTAGAAAGTAGGGATAATATTTAAGGTAAAGATAATATTTCTGCCAGATCAAAAGATCTATATCACTATATGATGTTGTAACTTTTCAAGCAGCAAATTTTATCAGCCTGCACAGAGACTTGGAATGTCAAATTTCATATATCATTTAGCTCCCTGAAGATGAATGGAATGAGGAGGATTGTTTTGGACAATTACTTTGACTATAGAGGTGTTCATGATTTTTGGGTAAATATGTCTTTAGCAGTCTATCTCAGACATTTTATACTTCAAAAGAGGAGCTACGAGAAAACTCTAGTATTTTGGTGTTTTTATTTTACCTTCATAAACTTTGTTTCTTCTCTTATAGATTGAATTTAGAAGTAAGACCAAGTTGGATCTCGTGTTTAAGTCAGCTGCTGTTGGTACTAAGAATTAGGGAACTGTTCCATCCCTTGGTAAAAAAAATTAACGAATTAGGATTTGGAAGGATTATATACATAGTTCTCATCGCCTGGTGACTTTAAAGTTTAAACATAGGTTAGTTTATGGATTTCAGTGAGGATTTAGTCCCTGGATGCAGCATTTCTGTTCCTCATCTTCAGAAGTTGTTTTCTTAATGGACTTATGAAGAAAGAAAAATATAAAATAATTTTCGCCTTACAGGCCTTGCATAAACTTCAAAAGATAATTTTAAAAAATAGAACGATGAAGCAAATAACTCCCTGTGGAAACTCCTAATCAGTAAGGCAACTACCATCTTGTTGAGATTGTGGAGCTGTCTATTATTCAATCCCTAGAGTTTGTTTTTTTTTGCTTGACATGTCTTATGCTTTCAGCATTGCTCGCTGGGGCAATCTGGTTTTCACTTAGCTGATATTTTGGGCTTCTGCTGCTGGTAGCGTGATATAAAGAGGGGGCTTAAATTGAAAATGGAATGCTTCTGGCATCTTTTCAATTTTGCATCTCAAAGAACAAGAGTCCTTGGAGACGGGACTTGTAGTTTATGTCCTATATTGCATCAGATGACACACTTTTCCTTTTCTTGTGCATCTCTATATCTGTAAGATGTACAGAGAAGTTGAGACAGAACATTTTGTTTGACACTCTAGCTAAGACAATGGTAATTCCTAATATTTTGTGCAATTAGCATGTTTCCTGTACTGGTTTAAATTGTCTGCCCTAAAGGAAAAGGTGTGTTTCCGCCATGTTTTCCAGATTCCGCGTTTTCTTCTTGTAGTTTCAGATATTCATGTTTATGTCTCTAAAGGTAGAATAAATTCCCGAGGCATTCTTTCTCCATCTGCCCCTTGGAAATAAAGTTGTCAACCACAATAATGGTATTTAAGTTGTTGATTCCTTCAGTATCTAAGTGGTCCAAGAAATGATAAGGATCAAAATAAATGATAAGGTATCTATACCTCTACCAAAAATTCATACACCCACAGGGATCTGTACGTCTATAAAAAATTAGCCCCTAAAAGTTACTCTGCTGCTGTTTTGCAAATCAGGATTATGAGTGTTTATTATTTGATTATTTCAGAACTGATATGTGCATTATATCTTCCTGGGATCAACTTCTTTTTAATTTGTGGCTTGAGTAACAGATATATGTCCGGAATCTCAATCTCAGATCTCATACTTTGACATTTCAGGTTATGTGCAGAAAATAACACTACGTACGGATATTGATGTGATGGTGGACTTGGATGATAAACCACCTTGACAAAAGAATACTTGTACCATTTTGTTTAAACCAGTATACATTAGGAAGCTTTGAGGAGACACGTAACTTTGCGGAATTGTTCTATTCTTTGAGGAGCAAACTGTGGGTCCAATAGTAAACAATATAGATTTGTCAAATAAAGGACATATTCTATACATCCGTAGCAGAATAAAGTAAATTCGGAGAAAGAGATGAGACGGCTGGAGGAACTGAACAAGTTGGGCAAGGATCGTATTTGTAATTTAGCTTTTTCACTTCAGTTCTTTCCTTCTTGGTTCTGGAATTGTTTTCATACGTTTAGTTGAGAATCTTGGTTGCTTTACAAGTAATTGAGGAATAAAAAGTATTCTTCCTTATCTTCTTTATACTTTAAGCATCAGAATATGTCCCTTCGTTGATAGTCATTCTACTATTTAAGGTCCTTTGCTACAATGTTAGTCAGCAAGTTCATTCCAGTTTTAAGTCTAAGATATCTTCACCCAATCAGCAAGTAGAAAAAAATGCCAAATCCAAGCTTTCTTGATTTCCAATACAACCTCTCGAAGAGAAGTTTTCTGCGTAAGCCAACTAGGATGTTCACCAGAGAGAGGCAGAACTCATGTTCGTTGCCTGTTTACCAAACTAGTGTTGATGATTTAAAGAAAGTTTTTGATAGATTTGATTCAAACAAAGATGGCAATATTTCACCAGAAGAGTACAAGGCTATACTCAAAGCCATGGGGAAGAAGAACCTCCTTACGAGGGAAGTTCAAAAGATTTTCGATGTTGCAGATGCAGATGGTGATGGATTCATTGATTTCAACGAGTTTGTGGAAGTGCAGAAGAAGGAAGGAGGAGTTAAAACTACGGATTTGCAGAGAGCCTTCCACACTTTTGACAAGGATGGTGATGGAAAGATCAGTGTGCAGGAAGTGTACGAGCTGCAGAAGGGGCTCGGACAACGTTGCAGCCTTCAAGATTGCAGGAAAATGGTGAAGGCAGTAGATGCAAATGGAGATGGTGTGATTGATTTGGATGAATTTGTGACTATGATGACTCGCACTATGACACTTTGTTAGAAGTCCCTAATTGAAAGACCCTACTGCGAATTCCAAGATTATCAGTCATGACAGTTCACTTAGTTATGTGTTACCTGTATAAAGTATAAATGTAAGGTTTCTGCATGCCTTGCTGCATGCTGGTGGCATTAGTTCCGATTACAGTTTGATATTTTATGAGAAGTCTACTTTCAATATGATTTAAGGTATAATCCAACAGGTTTTGCAACTATTAAAAGTTAAATAGCATTCACAAGATCAAAAGTTAAATAGTAATGTACTATTGTCATTCCAGAAAAACTAGATGAGCCCAACAAGTCCTACCACACTATCGCTAAGGCCGAATAAGGTATAGCCACGAGCTGATGGATTATCTCCCGTTTATATATAAATCCTACACCAATGTGAACATTTCATGAAGTATTCATTGGTATTGAGTTCACAAAGAGCAGCCATTAAGGTTGCCCTCGGATTATTTCGCTGCAACAGATTGATGAAGATATGCTTTAGTATTGATAGTTACTTTTCTTTAATATACTTCCGAACACTCTCTCTTCGGCTCCAGCAGCATACGGTCGCTATGAGCTTCAGTCTCTCCAATGTCCTTTCATATTTGCTGGACATCAAATGAACAGAGTCAAATAAAGATTGAATACTCATAATTCTAACTTGATTGACTGAATTAACATATACAGGCAAAGAAAACTACTAACTGAAGTTGGCTTGAGAATGGATATGGAAACATCTAGGAACTCCTGGATTTCTGCCCTTCCAACTCCCTGTTCAATAAAACAACAATTTCACCTGCACGACTAATTGATGAGAAAATCAAACTAAAAGACATACAGAAACACACATCTGAATTAGCAGCAGTTGATGGTTCTTAATTCTAACTACAACCAATCCATCAATAAACTATACTTCAATTCCAAATTAGTTACGAATACTGATATGTCAGAATTTAGAAAACATCCTAGACAATCAACTAAATCAAGAATACAGTACACAAGCCAATGAAAGCATTAATTATTCCCATCAAAACTCTTCGAACCACATGGTTTTAACTTACCTAAAATAGTGCAAAGGGGAACTATTCCAACTCAAGTAAGCCATTATAATGGTAAGGACACTCATGCCAACTGTAAAATCATTAACAGACCACTCAAAGAAAATAGTGATCAAAGAAATTTGTCCAAATATATGAAAATTTAAGCAATAAACTTTGGAATATCAAGAAATAAAAGTTCAATAATTATTACACCTATAAGGTTCCAGCAAATATAACATTCCCTCAATTAATACCCAAATTCTTCAATGGAAGAACAAGACTGAAAACAAAGAACTGAAGCTTCCAAAGCAGTAAATAAGACAAAAAGAGGAAATACCTCTAGTTCTCTATGTAAAGTGTGACAAGTAGAACTCATATGGACACTGCAGCAAGGACTTGCAAAAGCCAGCATATCTTCTGTTGATGAATGATGTTATGCCTCCATCTTTCCCATTCATAAAAACAGAGAAAGTTCAAGAAAAGTTGATCCTTTAAGAACCTGACACTTGCAACACAGATTTAACTGGCTTCCCTCGATAAAAGCTAACATGAAAACCATGAATGCAGTCACACTTGTGGTTTTTTTTTTTCATCTCCTTCTAGGTTGCTATTAACCCAAAACAAATTCTACAAATAAATCAACTTTCAGATAAAACCTAAATAATTCTTCATGAAACTAAAAGGATGATTTCAGTTAAATGAAATATTATAAGGATATACTCAAAGTTAGGGAGAAACGTAAGGGATGATATTGGTCAAAAACTCCATTTTCCTATAAAGTGACAGAACCAGAAAACAATTTGAAAACATTGTGCAGATACAATGGAACATTAATTTGACTGGCACTTTGCTGACTAATCTCTTTAACAAAGATCCAAACTACTAGAACAGTCTTAGATATCCACAAGGGTGCAAGCAATGCATAAATTGCAAGACATGGTGATTTTGGCATTGTAATTAGCAATACATAAAAATTCTTGGTAATTCATAGATGACCCTGAACAGAGCCACGGCCAGCTTAAAGGGATCTCAACATCGCGTTCATCCCAACATGCAGACTCTTGATGATCCTGAGAATTGTGGAAGCCAGTCTATGTATACTCAAATTAGCCACTATACTTCACCAATAATCACCACAAGAGCATTTTCCATCCTTGAAATGATGAAACCGCTTGTTGTCCCTGACAATTAACTCTCGCCCAACAATCCTTGACATGATCTTGATGGCATTGTGACAATCACCACATACACGGAGATTCTTTATGATACGTAAAGGTGTTCTGGCAGGAGTACTAATCAGACCATATGCAATGGCTAAACGTTCGCTATGGTATAGCAAAGCCTGTTCCTTGGCCTCCTGATCGATATCATGAAGGACATATCTGGTATCAGGCACATAAGCTTGTTCTTTCATCGCAGCCCTCAACTTCTCGTCATCCTTGAAGAGGGTTGGATTGCGAAATTCAGATACTCTATTTCTTCCTTCAAGCATATTAATGGCTAACTGCTTCTTTACTGGTGGAGTGGGAATCTTATTAGCAACAGCCTTAGAAGGGTCAAGACCAACCATCAACTCCTCAGCTTGATCCTCAAGATCAATATCGCCATGTATACGAGCATAATTCATTAATGCTTCCCAGACGGCTTCTGTTGGTTCAAATGGAAGCTTTGAGATATATTCCTCTGCCTCAGCAAGATGTCCACATTTTCCTAGAACACCCAGAAGTCCTAAATAGTGCTCCACCTGTGGAGAAATTCCATACTCAGCCTTCATTGACTCAAAATGCATGAAAGCCTCATCAATAGCATCTGCACTGGCACAAGCCTCGAAAACATACAGAAAAGTTTCCTCGTTTGGTTTCATTCCCGACTCCCGCATCTGATCATACAATGTCAACCCATCATCCCCCAACCCATTCAATGCATATCCATTTATCATCAAATGCCATGAGTCCATATTCCTATCACGCATATGATCAAAAACTCTGCGCGCATCTGTCATACTCCCACACTTGGAATACATATTGATAACTTTATTGCTCAAACCAAGATCACTCCTGCATTTTGATCTCAACAAGTAATCGTGCACCTTTTTAGCATCTTCAAGTTTCTTCGAATTGGCACACAACTCAAAGAGCATGTCAAAACATTGTGCATCGGCAACTATCCCCTGTTCCATATGTTCAATAACCTCCTTAACTTTACCTTCTTGGCACAAGCTAATTAAATCAACAGTAGGTGGAGGATCACTCGGGACTTGATCATGCACAACCTGAGCTTGGTTATGAGATTGATTATTCATTTGAAACCCGCTTCCTGGTGAGACTCTCTGTCCCTGAGAATCTAGTTGACTAGGGCTTCCTCGTGGAGCATAATTTTGATTCTGATTATTCCACTGATTACCAGCACCAGGCTGTGGATAATTCTGATTTCTATTGGGACTTTGTGCATGTTCCGGATTCTGATATCCACTTTGTGGATAACTTGGAGCCGCATTCGGGGTTCCATGTTGTCTGAAGCCTTGATTTTGATAATTCCATTGGTTGACGTTCCCAGGTGGCGGGTAGTTTCGAGGCTCACCGGAGCTCGGCCTATACGGAATGCTTTGATTTTGAACATTAGGGCTTTTCTGATTCTGAAAGCTCTGGGTATATCCCTGACCAGGATTAACATTTCCATAATTTGGATAACCTTGATTCACCTGATCAGGAGTTTGATACTGAGGATACGACATATTCATCTGATTATTATTCGGATAATTCTGGGTTTGGTTATTCCACTGTTGAGCAGAGCTTCCAAAATCCTTATTTTGCGGAACCCCAGAGGGGTTTGGGGGAATTTGAACATCATTTGGTGCTGCGAATGTTGCTAGGGTTTTCGAATGTAAGGAAGAAAACGGGGAGTTTAAGGTTAAGGTTTTCGGGAACTTGATATCGGAAATAGAGAGTGAAGAAGAGTATAACAAACATACCTTGTGCGAAGAAGTGAAAATGGAGACTCGAGTTTTGCGAATCGCCATTAGAGAAGACATTTTTGCAACAGTGATTCAAACGATAAAAACCCTTTGTTAAACCCTAGCGTGGGAACATTGCTGGTAAATTCTGGACCTTTTGTTATAGTTGGGCTTGCGACCCGGGCTGTGGGTCGGACCTTCCTGAAACAAAATTTATTTTATTTTTTTATTTTTTTTTGAAAATAAACTAGAAATCTAGAATTTATCCATTATGCTAAGCTAATAATTAAGTAAAATATTATTATGTTAATGGCACTAGTAACATGTGAACAATTTTGTAATTTTTATTTCTTTATTCAAATTTATTTAAATATTTAATCACATAATAATTTAAGCCTATAGTATAGGTCGAGAAAATGTAATTTAAATTCAAATAGAAATAATGATCCTTAAGTCCTAACTAATTAGGAAAACTAAAAATTGTATCCTTTCAAATTATATCATCCGTCCTATACGTGAAGCACTTATGTTTAGTCTATCTAAAAAAGAATGTCATCTTTCTATAACCAGAAGAAAACACAACTTTAAAATTCATTGTTTATCATTAATAAAATGATTTATAGTCACACAAATAATATGATTTATTTTAGACTATGAAACTTTTTTTTTAAAAAAAATATTTTTTAAACATTGCTACCTAATCAGATGATAACACATAAGTTATAAGTGAACATGAAACAAAATCTCATACAAACCACCAAAAATTGTGGTGTAGTGGATGGGTTGTTCCTCTCTTAATAAGAAGTCTCGGATTCGAGCCCTAAGAAGCCATATACATCGCGAATTTGAAATAGTCGGGCCTACTTCATTGTAACTTGGGCACAAAGCTCGTCTCTTTAGGCGCCTAAATTGGCTCCAAATGGGCTGACTCGGGTTGCCTTTTCATAAAAAAAAGAAGCAAATTACATAAATCACATACTTTTAAGGCAAAATTACAATCTATCCCTTAAAAGTTTATAATTACAGAAATCCCTCAAACGGATACAATAATATAAACGCTAATACATTAATCTGATGCGCGAGATACATTAATCGTTAAGTAATATACATTACATTTTATACATGATACACTAATGTGATGCGCGAAATACACTAATCTGATGTACATTTTATACATGATACACTAATGTGATGCGCGAAAATTACACTAATCTGATGTACATGTTATACATGATACACTAATGTGATGCGCGAAAATTACACTAATCTGATGGATGAAAATGAGGGATTTTGGAGATTTGTAAAACTTATAGGGAATAATGGTAATAAGTAAACTAAAATGTGAGATTTCTGTAATTTAATCCAAAAAAAAAGAAGCAAATTACATAAATCACATACTTTTAAGGCAAAATTACAATCTATCCCTTAAAAGTTTATAATTACAGAAATCCCTCAAACGGATACAATAATATAAACGCTAATACATTAATCTGATGCGCGAGATACATTAATCGTTAAGTAATATACATTACATCTTATACATGATACACTAATGTGATGCGCGAAAATTACACTAATCTGATGTACATGTTATACATGATACACTAATGTGATGCGCGAAATACACTAATCTGATGCATGAAAATGAGGGATTTTGGAGATTTGTAAAACTTATAGGGAATAATGGTAATAAGTAAACTAAAATGTGAGATTTCTGTAATTAATCCAAAAAAAAGAAGCAATTAACTACTCTAATTTTTTTCATACCAGCTTCAAATTGGGCCATAACCTAATAGTTTAAACATTTGAAGTCTAATTGGCTTTCGCTTGAAATTCCTTTGTCTTTTATAGATCGAGTTGGTCTGATATGGATAACAATTAACAACTCTATATATATATACACGTAAAGTTTGTTGCGCGGAAAGGAAAAAAATGTATTTATTCTCTATATTTAAAAATTAAACAGTTAATGGCTAGCTTACAGCTTACTTAGTGAGTATGTGGCTTTTTTCATGTTCTTGCGACTTGAAGTTCTCATATCTTGTTGCACTAAAAACTTTTAATCAAAATATTTCAAAATAGTCTCATAATCCTAAAGCCAACCTAAACGCAGGTCATACGTTTCCATTTTCCACGCATTGCTTAGATTACTGTTAGTAAAAACTTACAAGATAACAAAAATACAGGATTAATACAATTGAAAATAACTATGAAGAAAATAAATCTCTTCAGGCTGAGGCGCGGATATCTCGCTCTCTTTAAGGAGATTCAAGCCCACTGCAGCAAATGTTTTCATCGGTCCAGCAGTAGTCCTCTTGACTTGTCCCCTCCAGGATACAACAGCCTACACAAAGTATAGCTCAACAACTCTGGACAAGAGTTGAGTCCAAAGCTCCACAAAAGAAACACCTCCCTTCAACTAATAAGAACTCTCTTTTTGACAAACCTTATGCACTCTATATTTTCTTGTGTATGTTATGTATCCCAAACCAAATGAAGACCACCACTATTTATACTAGAGGAAGCCTTCCTAGCAATGAATAGGAAGATAATGGTGTAGTAAATAGTGAAGATAATAGTCTCAGGAGTTACATAGGTTACAAGAATAATGAAAGAATTAAGAATGAGATAATGGAGAACCATTACATCTTTTGCCAGAAAAACCACAAACGGACAGCCACTACAACGTTCTCAGCAACGTTATAACAAAGTAATGGCAATTAAGCCAAATGATAATAAAGATGACATCAAATGTCATCAACTGTCTAACGGTAGTAAAGCACCTAATGATGTGTTATTAGGCAGAAAGCAAATATTTAGCAAAGTATAATAATATTAAAAGTATAATAATATTAAAATGCCACAACAATTACTATAGTGATTCTAGAAGGGTTTTTCATTAGAAAGTTATACCGCATAAATATGGTAAAAAGAATTCATTTTTGTATATTTAGACAAAATATCTCACATAACTGATATTAATTATGTGATAAAAAAGTAGACCAAAATCTTATACGTTTGGATCCATAAATTCTGAATCCATTTTTTTGGTCTCACAAAAAGGAAGTCACGTACATAAATATTCAAGCTGGCGATGCTTAAGTTGTACGTTTTTGAGGTCCATGAATTGCTTTCTCCGTTGCCTTTTCCCACTATTATTGTTATAATAATTATTAATATTATCCATCTTATTGATTATGACTTTCTTGGAAACTATATATCCACTTTTTATTATTTTCATAAGTTGTTAATCATTAATATATACTACTACTAAGGACATCAGAAATTGAATCTAGAAGGAAAATTCATGGTTAAATTTTGAAAATAGGACCCCATTTTTCTGGCCGTAATTTAGGGAAATGACTTGGCGTTCCAATCCTTATCTTTATTTAACATAGACCCAAGAATCATTTTTCTTGACATTTTGTAACAAGAAAAAAAAAGAACTCCCTAAAAATTTCAACATTAAAGTAAAGTGATCACTAGGCGGACTGCATAAGTGGCAATATGCAGGAATAATATATCGTCAAACCTCTTTACAACAAATGTTTATATTGATATTTTTCTTATTGTTGTAATAAAATATTATTATAAAGAATATATAAAATAGTATAACATGGAAAATTAGTTTTGTAGAAAAATATGGCTATTATAGTATAATATTATTATAAGAAATAACTGTTATAAAAAAATTTGATCGTAATTATATATGTTATTGTCTATACTTATTTACACTATGAGTTCATTTTTGCGGATTGGTTATTTTATTATATCTTTTAGACTATTAGAATAGAGCGTTTTATAGGTCATTTTTATTCGACTATGTAAAAAAAATGATACAAAGTAGGCAAAAGTTTAAACTTAAGGCTTTGGGGGGGAGGGGGGGGATGGGGGTTGATATGAGGGGCATGATCTGACTTTGCTAAACGTGCTTAAGAGCAATAAACATATTACAAAATGGGGATTTCTTAAATTATGAGTATTAAGACAAAATTTGTTCACCCTATGGGAGACCATAAGAGACACATATATTGCCATTGAACCAAACCTCCTAGTAATTTAGTCCACTTGTCTTCATGAGGTTTATATCCATAGTCCAAAACAGTATTTACCCAAAATGTTATAGTTTCATCATTATATAGTAATGGAAAAAACATTTATTTTAAAAATAAAATAAAATTAGAGTAAGTAGTTTCAATTTTGTCCCTTTGACCAAATATATTTATGGGAGCTAGTCCAAATATATAAAATCTATACACCTAATTATGTATATATTATAGGTATATTTACTGGCTATTTTGTAAACTAGATCACCCGAAAATATAATAATTATCCCTTAAAAGAGTAAGCATATGATACAAATAATAGTATACTCCAAAAGTTGTTTTTTCCCTCACAATATTCAGTCAAAGGAATCAGCCACCTGTTGGGCATCCATTTGAAGATCCGCTCCTGAGATGCCCTTCTTCTTATGAAGATAAACCAACCATGTGAGGACCAATTTTTCCATCCATAAAATTGGAATATTTTTAAAAACTTTTTTTGTATCATATTAATTACTAGTCAATCAAATACCTAAACCAGTATTACTTAAGTACTTTTTTAAAAATTGAATGAGTCATTATAAATTCAAAGCAGAAAGGTTGATTAGGAGTACATGTGCAATGCCAGTTAAGCATAGGAGATAACTCCATTTTTTATGTGTTTTAGAAATTTGTAATTACAGCAACATAATCACCTTATCATAAAGTACATATCTTAACTTTAATACTTTCATTTGTCGGCACAGCTTTTCCAGATTATAGAGATATTTCACTAAAATTAATTAAAAAGAGTATTTCACAAGTTTTAGTACTCCCCTCCTCTCGTTGATATGTTTTGTTTCTCGAAAGTTAATTTTATTAATTTTCAAAATTAAATTTGATAAATTTATTGTTAAAAGTTTAGATATTTAAAATTTATACCGAGGGTAAAACTTACCCGCATCGAATGTATACACCAATCTAATACATGCATGCCATATGTTTAAATCTATAGTTCATTTAGTGGTTGTAGCACCGTCCATGAATTTAAATTGAGTGCGATTTTACAGTATATATTACACTTTTGGATCAGCAAGTAACCAAAACCGTCCATCAATTTTGACCCTCAATTTTCAACCTATTTCTTATAGTGTTTTAAAGTTCGATTAATATGAATTCACGCCTACTACCAAACCATAATATTTAGTGGTGTATTTGTTGAATGTTGACCACTTTTTTGTATAGCCCTTACAACTTTTCAGATCCCCTGTGGACTAATTTTGCCAAAAATATATATGCAGAAATGGGTGGTTAAAGATCTAATGCACTTTTGGACCTAAATTAAAAAAAAACCTAGCCAAGATTACATCTAGGGGAGGCTTATAAAGATACAACAACCTTTTCTGGCCCTCCACTTGGCAAAAACATTTATTTTTCTCTATTTCGCGGGTTATATTTGTTATCTCCTACCAACACAAATATCGAGTAACGTTTAACTACAACTTATTATGTGAAGTCTTGCTGTAATATAGACAACACCTTTTACCATCTAATTTTCCTCTGCTAGAAGTCATAACAGTGGATCTTATAATACAAGAATATCAGACATGTTCTGTTTCATAATTAAGGTTTTTGGAAGTATATATAACATTAGAGAAAACTGACACTATTAAAATCACTAGTTTCTCGTTGAAATTTTCCGCTGAAAAATGTTGAGTGACTATTCCCACAAATATTTTGATTAAATTAATGAGAAAAATAGTAGTATTTTCACGTAAAAAATTAGGAAGATTCCCACTATTTCAGTGAGAATCTGTTTCCCGCCATTTGTTTACCCACTATTTCAGTGAGAATCTGTTTCCCGCCATTCGTTTACCCACTAAGCTGGTTCAGTGGGAAAAATCATATTTTCTACTATAGATTTTTTTATTGATTGGCAGTGGAAAACCTCTGTTTCTAGTAGTATTGTGTGGATTTGTCACTAACAGGACATTTACTATGGATTTCAAATGGCATACTTACACATGAAATTTTACTTATAACTAAAAAGTGGTGTGTACACAATCTACTCAGAATCATATAAAATTTCTTTTTTTCTGCCTATCTTCATCTTGGAGTGGTAAATTAGTCAACAAAGAAAGCTATAATTTAGGAGTAGTAAACAATTAGAGTGAAAAAAAGTTGCCTTCATATACAGTGCATCTAGCATTACTTTCTAGATATAGGTGAAAATTTTATTTCCATATTTCATGCTTGAATGGTGGCAGATAGACATCACTATCTTATAACGGAGGAGAAAACACATGCAATGTGATTTATTTTAATAGATTCACATGCCTGTTATGTTATATTAAGTTAAAAGTAGTTGTTCAATGAACTACTTTTGAAGCAAAAAATAAATAAAAGATAATTTATTAATTTGGTATATGAACTTTGACCAGTATGCAACAGATCTGAGAGGCATAATGTATTTCTTTACAGTTTTATAAAACAGCTACAGTTACGACACCTCAATCAGAGGCGGATCGCGAATTTAAATTTATTGAGTTTAGCTTTCTTAATTCTTACGTCTAAATCCATTACACTTTTGACATTATGGTAATAGTGGGATAGCCGCATAGATCGAAGGGTGATTAGTTGAATATCGTTTGTCTCTTGTATTTAGAAAATAATATGGTATATATACGTCAAAATAACTTTGCATATAAATATTTTTCAACACCCTTAGTTTCTTTACTGAATTGAATAATATTTGTTAAACTTCTAATAATTTACCACATATATATCTTATCCCTAGCAAGTTGGGTCGTCTATATGAGTTTTCTCCGTTTCTATTGTTGTGACGAGTGCTTATGTGAGGACGTCCCAAAATATTCTAAATTGTAAAAATACAAAACAAATTGACTAATTTTGTGTTGACTATCAACGTATCGTAACACTCCTTTATTCAAGCTTGAGACTGACAATGTGAGCAAACTAACACAAGAGCGGATTAATAGACATAGACAATTTTTATATATGTGAAATGCGGTCATTGTCCTTTCAAGATATTTGGTAGTCAAAAGTTGATTACATAATAGACAAGTTTACCATCTATATAAAGACTAGAAAAACTACATGTGACTTCTCACATTGAAAATTATTAGTCAAAAGATCAGTATTATTTTCCTTTGAATGGTCCATGGCCTGCCTAAATCAACAAGGACTTTGCACAACAATGGGTCCAAGAATTTCATTCTCTAATGATTTTGGTGATAATCAGCAAACATTAAGGCATGAACAATATGGCTACAAAGAGGCACCTGTTTCCTCTGATTTCGAGTTTTCGGTCTCCGGTTACAAGATGATTCCAGCTGATGAAGTTTTCTTTAAGGGTAAATTGTTGCCCTTGAGAGAAAATAGCACTAAGGCAACAACACTTAAAGATGAACTTCTTGCTAATGATGATGATGATTATGAAGAGATATTTCCATCAGTAGGAAAGGGGAGCTGGAAAGAACGTTTTGGTTTTAAGAGAGCTCCAATTTTGCCAAAGAAAGTTGATAATAAAGAGACAAAAATGCCTGATTTCTTCAATGACATTATCACAGGTAAGACAATATATTTATACTAGTTCATTCACTTGAAATTACATATTTGCAACTGAGAGTAATGTTGCTCGGATTCTCAAAAAAATGATGTAACATTCATGTTAGATTCTCCAAAATTGCACTACTTTTGAAGGATTTGACACGTATCCTACAACATTTTTATATATAACATAGCTTATAAGTTATGTGGTGCGTATTTATCTTAGATCCAATGGAAATAGTAAAACTTCATAATCTCATAAATGAGTCTCTTAATTGTTCCTTTCTTGTCTTTCAGGAGCTAACTGATAGATTGAAGAGGGAGGATAAGCAATGGTAATGTTGTAGAGTTCTTGGATCTAACAAGGGTGGACGTTCTTTTTTTCCTATCTTGTTTTGGGGTGTTTTTAGAGATTTTGAGATTTTTCTTGACTATTAGGAGACTGAAAACTTGTAATCTCTTTGATCATTCAACCTCCACCCTTTAGAGAAATGGACCATGTACAGCGTCGTGATTGTTCTTACGTTGTACAAATGTTTTCGACTTTTAAGTACTTTTGATGTAATCTTTTGTATTTGTTTGATAGAATCTAATCTAATAATGCTCCTTTATTGTCACTCGGTGTTTCTGTAGTACACCCATTTTTAATTGATCTTGAATTGAGATTTGAGCGCTGTTGGGAACTTGACAGGAACTTCCTGGAAAATGATGGCAGTTTTATTCAAATTACAATATTTGTGGAGAAAGAATCGAGGCATATTTTACCCAATAACGAAGAGTTTGAACCAAGAGGGGGGGTTGGAGGGGGGGGGGGGGGGGGAGGGAGGAGGAGGAGGAGAG